GGACTTGATCCACTATCATTGTGATATTCTGGAATTTACTGCAGTTCTTGTAGTATCATGTTGTAGACATGTTTTAGCTGGACTTGATCCACTGTCATTGTGATATTCTGGAATTACTGCACTTCTTGCTTTGATAAAATTTTTGGGGAACAACCATACTCTTTTCAGTGGTGGTCTAAGACCTGAAAGAAAGGACATCCCAAATTTGCTTTGGCTAGCCCAGATGTTTTAAAATATTACTTCAGGTAGAGGCCCAAATCTTATTACAAACTGTTTTACAAGAGGATTTGCTACTTTACCAGATGACTACCAACTGTTAGTGCTTAGATTTAATAACAGGTTTCAAGCTGTAATTAATACCAGGTGGACTCTCTTCCTATTACAGTCTCAAAAAACAAAACAGGCTACTCCCTTCTCAAGGTGTGTTGTCCCCACACTATTGGTAATAAAGTGCATGTGCACTGTCTGTAAGGTTAATATCTAATTTTTCTTAATTAGTCCATTCTAAAAAAAGATAAATATTTCAGTTTAACACATTTTAACTTTTACATGTAAACTTGCAAATAATTACTTCATTGTGTAACTACGTGTTATTCTAATGCTTTCACATGTAAGCTTTGTGGCCACTCTTGGTACTAATAAAACGTTACAAAATTAAGGGAGAGAGAGAGAGAGAGAAAGCATACAAGAAGTAAAAAAAAACTTAAAATGATGGGAATCTACAAAAACACAAAATCTTTATCTACTACATATCACGACCTGTACAATATGAGACAATACGGAAAATTTAATTTACAAGTTCAATTCTTCAGCCAATGTCTAACACAATGCGTCACAGGAACAAAGATCTGGCAAGACAGAAGATTGCATAGTAGAAAATGTTTTTTCTAAACTAGCAAATTTTTAACTCTCCTAAGATTATGACTTAGAAACCAGCCACAACCTACTGATTTTTTTTAAAGAACAAACATAACTAAAAATCGAAGTCATTAAAGTGACTTGAGAATAACCCATATTTCAGAGATACAAATACAAGTATTAATATATTGCTTTTAAATTATTTCAAAAAATATTAAACAAATACTTTAAGAGTTAGAGTTACAAATTTATTGAATGAATTCACTATGACAGAAGCAGCAAAAGTGAAAAGCACAATTCACCTTAGTGTAACATGTGACAGTGTTTTAATCATCAGCAGACCCATGATACTTAACAGTCCTTCACCAGAATAGTTTCTTTTCCTTTTAAAAGTAATAAAGTTTATTAATTTTGGACTTGTTAATGCTTTATGATTTTATTTTTACCTATATATTAAAATCAGTAGTTTTAATACCATAAATTACATTAATTATAAATAGGTGATCAAATCAGTACTATATAACAATATTGTGGCACAACAGACTTGAAAAGAAAAAAATTATCCATTACCACTCTTTGTCATTACTATACATCATAATGAAAAATGTCTGTGGTTATAGCTCTCAAAAGCATTGGGGATATTCTATCTATCAGACATGATCCAAATCCAGCCACAAAGAATTAATCAGGGGTTAAGAGTTAAGTGCTTAACCTCACAATGTCTCAATTCCTACTGTCTTTCACTTGTTTGCAGCCAGTTACCCCTAATCTTTAGACATAGGTTATTTTTGTATCTAAATATTGGGTTGATTGTTTTATTTATCATCATTTATTAATACTCTTTGAAAGGGGTGGAGATTGGGAGACTTAAAATTGTAGAAATATAGGGTGGTTTTCTTCTATTATAAGGCTTTTTTTTTGCCTAAAGTTTGGGAGTGACTGCCTTTCCACGAGTGGCTGCAGAACAGTGAAAGGCAGAAGTTGAGATGTTGTGGGTTTAGGCACTCAACTCCTAACCCCTAATTGATTCTTGTTTTTGTTTTAAGTCTCACTGCAAACATTTTGGCTTTGATTTGTGTATGTATATTTGGTGTATCTGGTTTTACAGAAAGTATTTGACCAGTACCTTAGGTTGTGACACTGGGAGCAAAATAGCCACTTCAAAATGGTCAGCTGTGCTAATAATGAACAATTGTTAAGGATTAATGAATCATTACACATCAAAATTGTAATCTGAATCTGTCTTTATTATCTTACAGTATTGCCAATGATATATCTCCATCAAATTTATACTTAAACTTTTAAAAAGATGTAACCAGATAATCTTCAGTCTCTATAGAGTTGCAGCATAAAGTTTTTAATCACAATAAAGTATTTATAATGGCTTCTTTTATCTACAAGGTTTCATAAATTGTTCCACTGCACACATTTCTTCTCTGGAAAGAGGCTGAAGACTGAATCCACTAAGTTCTGATTTTCCTTCTAACTCTCTTAACTTGCTAATTTTATGTTTCAATCCATTTCGAAGGTTTGTGACTTCTTTCTCTAACTTTGCTTGGTCTGGAAACATTTAAATGTAACTTTAAAAGCAATTTTAAAAGATTGCATAAATAATTTTTAAAAATCAGATATACTTAATTCATTTACTATAAAAATATACACAAATACACCACATCAGGAATAAGTGATATGGTGGTATTTATGATGATTGTTATTATCAAACAGAAAAATTATCATTTATCACAAAAACTAATTATAAGTTTTATCATAGTACAAAAATATGTCAAATAATACTTATACTTGTTGTAATCTTTCATTTTTGAGCCAAAACAATGATGTTTGTTTATAATTATGTCCACCGCATGGCTTGTTGCATGTACAAAAGATTCAAAGTCAACTAAGGCAAGAAATCCAAAGTTCTCGACACAAGGCCCCCAAAACATTCCACACCCTGTCTGATTCCTCCAATCCAGTGAATCTATAGATACTAAGTATCTTAACAGTCTTATGTATGTATTATGGCCCACCTTACACTTCACTCACGTGTAGCTCCCAGTTTGGGAAAACCACATCTAGGGTGACCAGCTGACAACCTTAAAACTGGAATCCACATTTTAGGAAAATTATAAGCAATTAATTATGCAAGTAATAAATATCACCATGTGTAAATGATATTTTTCCTTAGATTATTGCTGCTACATATACCTTTGTAATGAACCAGCTTTTATGAACAACTTCTTGTTGGCCAGGGTAAGTCATACAATTCTGAGGAAATGTCAATCATATTCACCCTTAAGTTATTTTAAATAAAAGCTTCATGACTTGAAAATCAAACATCAACTGTGAACAACACCTACCATTCATATTCAATTGTTTTTGTTTTGGCAGGTGAAAATCATATATATATATATATTATTTTGAAAACAAGTGGAGTGCGTGCCATTTGTTTACTTTTGAATTTATTGCCAACAAGTCACAGACACCTACTGTAGAAGAATCCTTAGCCCAACACCCATATTATTCAACCTACTTACTAAATATTACTACTATATATAATATTAAGAAGAATAAGCACATTATTTTGACAACTGACAAAAATGAAAACCGAGACATTTAGTCTATTGGGACACCAAAACAATATTCGAAAAACCAGGATATCTGGTCTCCATCGTATATATAACATTTGGCATCTTATTTAAATTCCTTAATAAAATACTCATGTTTCCATGTGCTTTTCCACAATAAAGAAAGATCTAACTATGCATCAGTGAGAAACAATCAACGATATTGTACTTTATGGTATTTTTTAGTTTTAACTTTGTATTTATAGTAGATTCATGACATTTTACTTTCATCAGAAAGAATTTCTTGTTATTTTTATTTGTATAGTAAAATAAAGTGTATGTTAAAAATAAAATAGAAAGCTTGCTATGTGAAAATAAATCATATTTTTGGTTCTGAATTTGTCTAATAACTGTTGTTTCTAAACAACTGAGTTGTGTTAATAATTGTTTATAAAAGGCCTCACACAAATATGTTAGGTATTGTCACATTGTTCGGGTTTAGTTATGTAGGTGCGAATAAAGTCTGTATTGGTGAGAAAGAAATACTAAACTTCAAATCTGAGATTATTTTAGATTTTCTTCTGCTGAAAAAACAGAGGAAAGCTGTGAAGGACAGAAGTCAGTGTGTGAAATGCCAACTAAAGAAGACAACATGACCAACATGCTTTCTACTTACAAAGTAGAACAAAAAGAGAGGATGTAGATGCTTGATTTGATATATAAATCAGTATTCTAGGAAATTGGTCAAGCATCTACAACTAGGAAATTGGTAATACTGATTTATATCTCAAATCAAGCATCTACAAAATACTGATTTATATCTCAAATAACCAATTTCCTAGTTGTAGATGCTTGATTTGAGATATAAGTCAGTATTACCAATTTCCTAGTTGTAGATGCTTGATTTGAGATATAAATCAGTATTACCAATTTCCTAGTTGTAGATGCTTGATTTGAGATATAAATCAGTATTACCAAT